CAGCCTCTGTTCTCCAGGGATTCACCCCATCCCTGCCCTCCCCGGAGAGACTCCCACCTCGAGCCTTGCTGGAGCGAGGGGAGGGAGCCAGGATGGGGGGTTATCCCAAGGGTGGTCCTGGGATGTGATCTCAGATCCGTGTCCTTCCAGCTGAGCAGCCGGGAGGGACCCTCGCCGTGGGATGATGGTGGCACGGGAGCCTTTGTCCCTGCTGGGGCACAGTCCTGAGTCTCTCCCTGCCCGAGAGCCCTAGAATTCCATGGACGGGGAAATCAATCCCTGTCACCTCTGCAAAGCCCGTGGCCCTTGGAGAAAGGAGTGACAAAGGCCCTGGGGACAAACCTTTGGGGACAAAGGCGTGACAGAACTCCCAGGGACAGTCCCTCAGGGACAGAGGGGTGACAAAGCCCCCGGCCGGGGCTGGGCTGTGTGGCAGTGCTGTCATTCAGGAACACCCCCGGGTGTGACAGTGCCAGCCGGGGAGGTGACACAGCTGTCCCTGGGGGGTCACCCGGGGGGAACAGGCTCAGGGACAAAAATGGCCTCAAAGAGCCTTAAAATCAGTGGCAGTGAGGAACAGCCCCCCTGGGGACAGGGCTGGGGGCACAGGGGGGGTTTGGGGGCTCAGGGTGTCCCCTTGGTCCCCCCAGTCCCTGCAGGAGCAGGATGGGGACCTGGGGGGGGACACTGGGCAGGGCAAAGGCTCTTCCCAACCTCCAGGCTCAGGTTGGCTGTGGGGGTCTGGTAACCCAGGGCTCTCTCTGTTCTTTCCTGCACCCCAATCCCTCCCCACACCCCATCCCATGGGCTTCCTGCTCTTCCAGAGGGGATCCAACCCCCCTGAGCTGCCTCACAGCAGCAAAAAGCCTGGAAACCACAGTGATGGCACACGGGACAATCCTGCTGGGAGTGAGGGAACCCCAATACGGGGACTCTGGGGTGCCCCAGACCCCCCTGGACAGGACCCCGTGGAAGGCTCAGGGTGAGCACTGCAGGAAATTGGGAGGATGGGGCCTGATCCCACTGGGTTATCCCCAGAATCCCAGCACTGGAGCGGCTGCGGGGCAGATCAGCAGGGCTGGGGCTCTTCTTCCTGGGAAGAGGTTTGGCCGGGAGGTTGTAACTCTGGGAGGGAAGGGAACGCCAGGAAGGACTGAACTTGTGCTGGGAATCCAGAGCTGGGCAAAGCAGGGATCTGTCGTGGGTGGGGCGGTGTGAGCGGGGCCGGGGGCGCCGGCGGGAGTTGGCAGCGTGTGTTCATCCCGAAGTAGCACTTGGTGAGTGAGTTTTGCTCAGTTTTAAGTAACACAGGCGATTCCCGGAGGTGATTTTTCCCTACTTTCCCGGGTGCAGGTTGTGCGGTGAGGTGGGGGCTTTTCCAGGGGTGGGAAATCCTGCTGCTCTTCCTCGGGTGGGGGGGACGCGGGATGGGAGCACCAGGAGAAGGGGAGGAAGCGGTTCTTCAGCCCAAGGAGAGGAAGATTACGATCCAGGAAGGAGAAACCTTGGCTTCTCCTTTGGGAAGAGCAATCCCCCACCTTCATCTCGGTCCCATTCTCCCGGTGAAGCAACAGGCAGTTTTCCCTGGGGATGAAGCCAACGCCATTCCAGCAGAGCTTGAAACAGAAGGTGAAGAAAATAACCACAAAACACCCTTTTCTTCCTCAAATCAAGCGGATCCGGGCTCTGGTGGGAAAATCCAACTCTCGGCCCATGGTGGGAAGAGGCCGGAGCCCAGGAGGGAGAGGGGGAGGGAGGTGCAGCAGGAATTTCCCCAGGTGGGGACCACAGTCTCTCTAAGCTCGGTGACCACCTCCAGGAGCGGGTGACAAGGGGGACGAGGTGCCTCGTGCCAGGAGGACCCGGAAAGCAGCCGGATTCCGGGGTTTGGGGCTGGGCCTCGGCCAGACGCACGAGGCAGGAGCCGTCCCCCCGCCCCGGGGGATCCCAGGGATGGCCACCACGGCCAGCGAGGCCTCTGGGGAGACTCAAGATTCGATCTTTTCCTTCTTTTTGCCTTTTTTCAGGAAAGATGGGGTCCGGAATTTCTTCTTCTTCTTGGAGGGTGATTTGGAGGGTGAACCGTCGGGGGAGACAGGGGTGCTGGTCACCGTCTCCTTCTCCTTGGGGACATCCTGGTCGGCGTTGGGGGCTGTCCGCTCTGTCCCCCCTTTTCCCAGGTTTTCCTCGGTGCTCTGCTCCTCGTCCTTCCCGTTCACCACCGCCGGCGGCTCCTTCTTGGTGGTGGAATCGGCCGGGGCTTGGCCGCCATCCACCTTCTTGTCACCTTGGGAGCGGAGAGGGGACAGGGCATTGGGGCGGCAGTGCCCGTGCTCTTAGGGTTTGGTCCCCCAGTCACTGCTGGGGCCTGGGCAGGAGCAGGATTTGCCCTCCAGGGGTGGAGAACATTGGGATTTGATCCCGTCCTGCCACAGGTGCCGCTTCCCCGAACCTCCCCCCTCCCTGCAGGACAAGCGATGTGGGATGGAGAGCTGGGAAGAGGCAGCGGGAAAAGCAGGAAGCAAACAAGGAGGGATTTCCCAGTGGATTTCCTAAGGGATTTCCTTCCTTGGGGATCCCTGAGTGGGCCACGGAGAGCAAAGTTCCCCCCGAGCCCGTGTCCCTCCTCCGGGATGGCCTCTCCGTACTTACTACGGCACCAGGGATTCAGGGATAACTCCTTGGGTGACAGGCACACGGGGAGGAAAGAGAAAGGAGACATTGTGGAGACAGACAGACAGACAGACACCACGAGACACCATGGCAGAGCCAGCAGCCCCGAGCCCCGACACCCGCGGCCGACCGGAATGACGGGAATGTCGCACCCGCCGGAGCGCGGGAATTGGGATGGGGGACAGGGGTGTCCCTGCACCCCACAAAGCCATCAGCGGACACTCGTGTCCTCCTGCCATGAATTCCCACCGGGGCTCGGCCCCTCCGGAGCAGGGACCCCCCAGGACAGGCAGAGGGACACGGGGGCACATCGAGCTGTGTCAGCGTGGTTTGGCCTCAGCCCCCTCAT